TTTGAAGAAGTGAGCTGCATATTATGAGAGATTCTGTGAGAAGGCCATGGGCAAGGGACCATAGGCAGCCTCCAGGAAATGAGTGGTCTCAAAATGACAGCCAGGAAGAGAGTGGGGATCTCAGAAATACAACACAGGGATATGAATTCAACCAACAAACATGTGTGCTGGGAAGAGGATCCCAGAATCCAGAAAGAAATGCAGCCTAATCAACACCTTGATTGTAGCTTTGTGAAACTCCCTCCACAAGACCCAGTTAACTTGCTTCTGGACTCCTGATCCTCAAAACTGTGACATGATGAATGAGTGTTTTTTGAGCCACTAAATATGTGATATTTTGTTACACATAATTAAAAAACCAATACAGACATCCTTCGTTTTCAGGTAGAAAAGATATTAACACTTAGCATTTTTAGGGAAAAATGATGTTACCAAGCATTAAAGTGATACCTTAAAGATATATTTGAATCTAATGGTTACTTTGATCTATTATAATTCAAAGAAGTGAAAGAAAAAGAAGCAGGGAAGGATTTGGGACAGGAAGGCACCAGGTGTCCAAAGCAAATAGATCTAACTTCTTTTAACTTCCATGTCTTAAACAATGGGAAGAATATGTTGTAAATTATTAACTAATGAAAGTAAATGTCAAAGAGGCATAGCCATATTAAAACTTAATGCCCCAGAAGACCATTCTCACCTAAAACTGAACTGAAGTTAGGCTTGATTTTGAACGAGAGCAACAAATCAAGTTTATGAATCATGTATATGGATATTTATCTGACATTCCAGGTCAGCAGTTATCAAATGTGACTTTCTGTTAGCTCTCTATTAAATGGGATTTTTTTTCAATTAAGAAGTTTAGGGAAAAAAATATTGAGCATCACTGCAGATTTAACTGAGTAAGAATCATCAGAAGTAAGATCTCTTACCCACCTGCACACACATCTTTCAAAGGGTGAAACCCACCAAAGACATCATTAAGTCCCAACATAGCCAGTCTAACCACTGGTATTCAAGACTATAGGACTCATCACAATTAGGTCAATTCTTTTTGTGACAGAACCACCTTATGACTAGGATTTTATGCATCTAGTTCATTGGCTGTCAATCTTAGCTGCACATTATAATTAGTTGGAGAGCTTTACAAATCCTGATGCTCAAACTTCTTCCCAGAGCAATTACATCAGAATCACCAAGCATAGTACCAACAAATTTGTAATTTTTAAAGGTCCTGGCATGGTTGCAACATGCAGTTAAGTTTGAGACTGCTGACATGTAGAGAATACCTTGTATATTTCAGCATCCTTTCTAATACATAGTTATGCAGCTCAAAATCCCGCACAATGTGTGGGAGTATGTAAGCCGTTCATGACTGGCCACTTAGATGGAACACAAAAGAGAGTTTGACTATTTGGAGAGTACTATTTTAACTCCTTTTTATTGAACTTCATGTTTATTATCTTAACTCTCAAAAACAAACAGACAAAACTCAGCCAAAACAAAACAAAACTCAGGCAATGTAGGTATCAATATCCCAATTTGTAGAGATAAGGAGACATGGCCTACTGATTCAGAGAGAGCTGCCTAAACAAGTAAGATATGGACCTGAAAAAAAAAAAAAAAAGATATGACCTGAGTCCGAGTGACCCAAAGCTTATGATATCTTCACAGTGACTCTTAGAGTGTCTTAATTAAAGATGAATTAAAGGTTCTTTAATTAATTCTTTAAATTGTCTTAATTAAAGATTCTTAAAGTGGTCCCCAGACCAGCAGCAATAGCATCACCTGGGAAATTATGAGAAATGCAAATTCTTCACCCCAATCTCAGACCAACTAAATCATAATCTTTGAGGCTAGAGCCCAGCAATCTGGGCTTTAGCAAGCCTTCAGTTGATTCCAAGGCACATTCAAGATGGAGAAACAGTATGCTATATACCATTTCCATCAGCTGCCTACTTTTGGAGATTCAATTCAGCAAGTGGTAAGAGAAATAAAAATCTGGGGGTGACTCGGGAAAAACAGAGTGACAAGCTGAGAAATTTTCTCTATCTTACCTTTCTCTCACTCCCCATTTTTTTCAAAGATTTTATTTATTTATTTGACAGACAAAGATCCCAAGTAGGCAGAGAGGCAGGCAGAGAGAGGAGGAAGCAGGCTCCCTGCTAGCAGAAAGCCTGATACGGGACTCGATCCCAGGATCCTGAGATCATGACCTGAGTTGAATGCAGAGGCTTTAACCCACTGAGCCACCCAGGCACCTCTCACTCCCCATTTTTATTAATAATCTGTGTTGGAAATGAGGAAATGTTATCAGGGATATAGCACTGGGAAAAGATTGGGGGGCTCTGGCAATCTTTACTAACAGGGGTGATTTGTCATGGTGAGCCTCTTTTATGTAAGTATTTCTGTCTTAAGATGTAGGTAACTAGTTAATCCTTTTAAAAGGTTCCATTAAAAATAAATAACCCAATTGGCTCCATGGAAATGATTTTTTGATCTTAAGAGCTTGAGGTAATTGGTGTTCAGGAAACCAAGAGTAGTTGGTTTGCATTCTCAGAGGCTAAGCTGCTTCAGATTGCTGGCATCCTGTTAAACATGAGTGCCACTGCCCTGCTTTCATGCCTCTCTTGATATAATTCATGGTATATTTATTAGAGTTGGACATTTGACTAGGGGAAGACAACCCCAAATGAAAAGAATAGTTATCTTTGATTTATCAGAGACATCAATTAATATTTTCTGAGCAAACTTTGGATGGCTTTCTTAGAAAGGAGTATGTGAATATGCTTTGGGCACATTCAGGTCTGATGGACATTGATCTCATGGCAGGATGGGGGGGACAGAGAAATTAATGCAGAGAGCAGAGAAAAAGAGAAAGAGAAAGGAAAGGGGTGAAGTGAAAGAAAAGAGACAAGAATTGACAAGGAGAAGAGACAGAGGAGGTAGAAAGTAGGCAGAAAGCACAGGAAGAGGAAATAGAGTGGGTATCAGAAGGTAGGAAAGGGGGAAAGAGAAGGGTCCTGGAAAAGAAGGAGGAAGGGTGAAGAGGAAGAAAAGAGGACAAGTAAGCAAAGACAAAAATAAACGAGAGCAACAAGAATGAAGGAGAATAAAAGACAAAATAAACAAATGCAGACGTCAGAACCCAGGCAATTTCTGTGAAGTGCTGCTTGGAGAAGACCAGCCTGCAGAGATGCTACCTCTGGGGGTTGATGATGGCAGTAATCCTGATTTCAATTTGCAAAAAATGGTATGAAAGGCAGCCTGACTCCAAATAGAGAGACCTTCAGTCACAGCAGTGGAGTGATAATGTAGCAGGGATGATAAGAGGTTGGATTGAATTCTCCTTTATTAGACAACCATTTTGTATCTGATTGTTGCTGCCAGTGGTCATTCCAGCTGGTGTTTGGTAAGTGTTTGCTTTCTCTGCACACTGGGCATCATAGACATAACTAATAATTCTCTAGCCTCATTTCCAAAGCTCTTTCTCTTCATGCATGTTTGTTTACACGTGTCATCTTGATAGATTGCACATCACGATTCCTTTTAATGAGAATCCTGTTTGTGTGGGGCAAGTGTCCATCTCCAGGACATCTCCCTTCTCTCCACCCAGTCTACCCCCACCAAGGCCTGGGTATTAGCAGAGTACCAGGTTTTCAGAGTAGTAATAGGGAGAGAAAAATTTAGAAAGTCCAGGCCAGGAGACTGGTGAGAGCAGAAATGGGGTGGAAAGACCCCGTGGAGTCAAAGAGATGTGGGAGGTTGTGTGCAATATGCATGTTGGAACCCTATAAAAATATTCTGAAAAGTCAACTAGTGTTATGTATTCTCTGAGTAAACTTTTGTGTGGATCCCCATGGAAGAGGCAGAGTTTCTCATTTGGTCTGTATGAAGTTGCAACAAGGTAGCAGTTGAGATGGTCAGATTTGAAGAGGCTGGGATTAGCAGAACTCTTTGAACACCATAGAGTCTACAGATCATGGAACCAGGGGGAAAGATTTTAGGGATCAATGCAATTTATTTTGGATCACAAGGGGCACCGTTAGTGTAGCTACCAGGTTTACAAATGTGTAAGAACATAATACATATAGGCTTATGTATGCCATTTGATGCACAATCATGTGACACATTTAAGGATGAAATGCCTTTTTTTTTTTTTTTTTAAAGTAGGTGCCATGCCCAACATGGGGCTTGAACTCACAGCCCTGAGATTTAGTCACATGCTCTACGTACTGAGCCAGCCAGGTGCCCCAGGGATGAATTGTTTTCAAATAAATTCATGACAAGTCTGTCCCTATATAGGCCAGAAGTTCCTTGAATATCTTCTCTGGCTTTTGAATAACCTACAAAATCTAGCTTTATACTAAACACATACCAAGAGTGTGTCCCTGATCAATTGTCTGAACCATCGTTGTCTCTCACCCTCATCCTCTGGTATGCACGAACTATCACTCCTTTTGAAGATGATTCACTCAGGAAGGAGAATCATAGGTTCACCTGGTTTACAAAGAACCAGATGTAAGGACTACCTACCTCAGACACTTGTGTTTAGAGTCATTGGTAGCATGTTTTCTTTATAAACTTAGAGTGACTTTTCTCCAATGCTAGGAATGGTGTTCTTTGATGGGCCTTAATCTATAGTCAAGATACAAGTCAAACATAAGACTATCTTTCAGTAATGAAGAGAGAATTGAAGCTTACTGAAACAATGTCATTATAGACAAAACCAACCAAACAAAACATACAAAGAACAAAATTGAGTATGCCTTTTTTCTGTACTTATCATTGTTTAACGTCTACCCACATTGTATGAGCACTGGTGTGCCAAAGGCACTCAAAGTCTAAATGGATATCGATGATATCCACATCTAGGAAAGATCCATATGAAATGTGCATATGATGGGGCCCTCACAGAACCATCTATTTTCCCTTCTTCCCTCTCACTTCTCAATGTTCTGCTGAGAACAGTGTGAAGGTAAAGTCAAAAAGGAAGTTCTTACATTCTTAAATCCTCTGTAAAGAATCTGGAGTTCCTTCTTGGTAAATTTGCTCTGGGCTTCCAGAAGCTCCAGAGCCTCAGGCCGATGCCGGACGGTGGCCATCTCCAGTTCATCTTCCACGCTGTCTGTGGAGAAGAACCAAAAAGAGGCTTAAGAGCAGCCACAGGTCACTGATGCTTATACACAACAACAGGAAAGCAATGAAACGTTTACTGGATATTGGTGATTTTTCCAGAGGAAGGAATCTGATACCACCTTAAGCAGTCTTTACATTTCCCAGAGTTTACATAACTAAGCGAAGACAATTCCACATAATCTTTTCCTCCCACAAACTCTAATCACTAGATATTATAAAATTAGCATTTTTAAAATGCAGTTTGAAGAGTTCACAAAATCATGAATAACGTTAAAACCTGGAATTGGTGTATATATACCAAGTATGAGTTAGAAAAATGGAACTGCAGTTTAATGACAATTAGTACTACCCTGTGTATCATACAACTGGGAGGTAGGACTCTGCTAATACTCTCTGAGGAGTCCACTGAAATCAAATATTTGGCCTGGGCCTACAAATAAAGCAGCTAGGTCAGGTGTTGAAGTGAGTAATCAGCGGCTGATTTGACTGGCATAAACCCAGTCTTCACGGGGACGCTCTGGATGGACTGGGCCTGGGGACATTTCTGGCTAGAACCTACTCTGCAGCAAAGAGTGTCTATAGCTACAGATAAATTCTAAAACATTGTACTTTCCTTTGTGAGTCATGTTTACACTTTAATTTCTCAAACGTGCTCTATGTGAAAAGAATTTGATATCCATATAAATTTGGGAAATGCTAGCATAGTTTGGGACCAAAACTAGAAATTAAAGCTTTCCAGAGGATTTGCAACAAACAATTCTGTGTAACTTTGTTTAACCCAATTGACCCCATAGGGTGTTTGTCCAAGGAACTCTTTCTCCCCTCATCTGTTAGTCTCTACGTATTTGCTCTGGGGTCCTATAAAGCACAGCTGGGAGCTTGTTGGAATGTATTAGGATCTGGCTGCTCAGGTCTCAAAATACAGCATCCTTTATTAATTTCAGCTTTTTTTTTTTTTTTTTTTTGCAGTGGGGCCCAGTGGAGGCCTAAGAAATTCTTCTTGCCATCAGCCAATCCACACCTTGGTTAAGGAACTCGCCAGAAATAGAAGCATCCAGGCCCAGCCCTTAAGCCATGGTTTGCTAATTTGCATTATACTCCTTCCTCTTAGATACAGATTTCTAACTCAGATACATGAGTCTCAGAAGAGCTTTATCTCATCATCTCTGCACCCAGGGCATACTAATGCCATGTCTCATGTATCAATTGGAAATACAGTTGACAAAAGTCACATCATTCTGATACTCAGGGCTACCTTTCACTAACATCTGTATCTACTTCCTGCCCTGTCCCACTAAGTGCAGTGATGGGCCAGAGCTCTCACAGAGCAGGAGTTAAAAAGTTTCTGTAGAACTCTAATCCAGGGGTGTCCTAATGACTGCCGTCAAGTTTACAAAAGACCAATAATGGCAATGAAACAGGTGCTTGGAAGAGTTGTGTTTGTCAAAATGGGGAAGAGGTTAAAAGCAGAGATTTGTTTTGTATTTTTCATATAATAATAGTTTATTTTGGAACAGCAAGATGGAAAACTGCAGGATAGTGATGGATGGATAAGAATAATAAAAGGGACATGAGAAGATGAGAAGGCCAAGAATAAACTCAAGCTGACAAGCATAAAATTGATGCGAAAGTAAGCGAGATATGCATCTGAAGGATGTGTAGAGGCCTACGGGTAGCTGGGGAAATGGCAGCTACGCATTCACAAATTGACCTCTGGTTGGACTTTATGGGGAAAATCAAAAAAGCCCAAATGGGGCTCCTTCAATTTTCTCCTTCATTCACTGGAACATTTGAGTAGAATGGGTTGATTGTACTCAAGTCCTGAGCTTAGAAAGGAGGTGCTCCCTAAAATTGCTCTTGATCCAATGAATTAGACTATGCTGTTGTTATTGTAGTTGCTAAGGCAGAAATAAATGCTCTGGAACAGACCTGATGTAAATAGATAATACCAGATAAAAAGATTCTGCTTTCTTGAAAAATATTTTCACATAAGTTTCTTTTGAGTTGATTACAGTATAATTCCCTCAGCTTAAAATATTCCTCTCTCTTTTTTCTACCTGTTGAAATGTATATATCTCTTATGATCTAATTTAAATATTACTGCCTCCTCTCTGAAGCTTTTCCAGATTGCTCCGCCGTGCAAAACTGGTAGCTCCCTGGACAGAGTTCTCACACACTACCTACCTCTCATGAAGTATGCAAAACATAACTTTATGACCTGTTCATGCCTGCCTTCTCCATTGTGAGTTCCTTGAAGACACAAGCAAAGTCTTGTTGATATATATATGTATATATATATACATATATATATATATATATCCTCTGGACCTAACAGAGTCTGGAACCCCAGTCACTCAAGAATTATTTGGTGGGGCACCTGGGTGGCTAAGTGGGTTAAGCCTCTGCCTTCAGATCAGGTCATGATCTCAAGGTCCTGGGATCAAGCTCCCACATCAAGCTCTCTGCTCAGCAGGGAGTCTGCTCCCCCACCCCCTGCCTTCCTCTCTGACTACTTATGATCTCTCTATGTCATATAAATAAATAAAAAAAATCTTTATTAAAAAAAGAATTATTTGGTGTATGAATGAATGAATGGATGGATGAATCAGTAAACAAATGACGTTGCTACTAAAGTAGCAAGGAACCCCTTGAACCTTAGTTGTTCTCTAGAAAATTATTTCTCAAATTGAGATTTGTGGATCATTGGTGGACCTTAAATGCCTTCTTTGGATTCACATTCTCCATGCCTTGTTCTGAGAAACACAGCAAAAGCAAAACAGAGGAAATTTTAATCAGATTTTCTGAGTAGTCTTTCAATCATAGCACAACCTTCTCTAGACCCAGTGACCCTTCCACTGGAAAGAAACAAAACAGCACATTCATTCCTTGGCCTCTGTAACCACACAGCATTCTGAACCACAGCACCAACACACTTTCTTCCTCTAGCTGTCACAGACTTGCTGAGGCTGAGACTGAGACAAAAGACCTGGAGCCAGAGGGTCAGTATAATTGAATTAAGACTGTGATGGGATGAGCATCATGAGCAATACTCAAAGCACCACACTTGAAGCATCTACCTGAGGACTCTTGTTTTCCCAGCTGACTAGTACCTTACTTCCTAATGACTCCTACCTGCCAAAGAGCTGTTTCTATTTCTAGGAAGCTGACAGGCTCTAAAAACCTGAAATCATCAGCAATCACCAGCAGACATTAAAAAAAGCAATACCACCGAACCCAATCAAGACTGATTCCTGGAGGCAAACTCTGGAGAGCACAGCATGATTCTGCACAGGATTGAAATTCACGAGTTGACTCAGCCACCTTTCAGGAGCACCCATTTAGGGGGATTTTATTTTAAAGATTGTTAATGTATTTATTTATTTGAGAGAGAGAGGGAGAGCATGGGGAGACGGAGGGGCAGAGGGAGAAGCAGACTCCCTCCTGAGCAGGGAGCCTGAGTGTGAGGCTCCATTCCAGGACCCTGAGAGCATGAACTCAGCCAAAGGCAGACATGTAACTGACTGAGCCACCCAGGTGCTCTCTGGGGGGATTTTAATACAGTGCTTAACATTTATTGAGCCCTTACTGTATGCTGGGAGATAGGCTAGGTGCTCTACTGATATAATTCCAGTCTTCACAGTAATTCCACAATGAGGTATAATTGTCTTTTTCTTTACACATGTGATACTCAGTCTTACTGAGGTGAAGATAGGTGTGACCAGATGTCACATAGGAGAAAGACAGAGACAGGGATTCACACCCAAGTCTCTGATGCCAAGCCTTATGTTCTCTCTACTTTGTCACATTTTGTCTCAACACCAACAGAAATAAGAATGTTAAAAATAACATATTGAATCTCCTCTCCTTTTCTGCATTTTCAAATGTCTCAGAAAAGTTGACTAGATCCACTGGGTCCATTTTCTATCTCCTGCTTCCTCCTTAATCTCCTATAGTCTGACTTCTGGCACCATTATGGGTGGAATAGTATCACCCTAAAATTTGTATGTTGAGGGCCTAACCTCCAGTATGGCTGTATACAGCTTTTAAGGAGTTAATTAACATTAAATGATGTTATCCAATTTAATTGTCCTAATCCAATATAACTGTTATCTTTATAAGAAGAGAGAGCGACACGACACCAAGGATACACACACGGAGAGGAAAGGCCATGTATAAGCATAGCAAGAAAGCAGCCCATCATAAACCAATGGGAGAGAGGTCAATAGAAACCAATCCATCTTGATTTGGGGCTTCCAGAACTGTGAGAAAATAAATTAGCTGTTCAAGCCACCTAGCCAGTGGCATTTTGTTATGGTAGCCCTAGTAAATAGATACATCCACCTATATTCAAATAACACACAACACTCATAAAAGCGAGTCTTGTTGCTCACAGTTTGCCAGTGAACTTTGGACAGTGGGAAAGCCCCTTATACCATTTAATCTTTACAACACAATTCAAAAGAGGGATTTTCATCCCCATTTTAGGGATGAGAAAATGGAGGTTTGGAAAGTCTAAGTAACTTGTTCAAGGTCAAAGGACTAGTTAGCAAGGAGGCACACAGGTGTCTTCATCACCCTAAAGTACAATTTTTTAAGCATTCTGATGAGATTGTTAATAAAAATCACCACTGTATAGAGAGCTTTTGCTCTAAGCGTGGCTGGGTATTATCTCTTTCTAATGCTGACAAAAATGTTGTGAGAAACCCATTATTGTCTTATTTTATAAGGAATAACTGGGACTCACAGAGCTTAAATAATCTACTCAAGGTCACATAGCAAGTAAGGGACAGAGCTGGGATTTGATCCCTGGTTTTTTAAGGTGTAAGAGCTCAGCCAATATGCTATTTTAAGAGATGGTAATATATATATATATATATCCAAAATCCTAGAAGGAAAATAGATTTTAGGCTGTCGCTGAACCCCCGTGCCTCAGGGGAACCGTGCCTGCGTGCCTCGGAGAGATCACCGTGGTAGCAGTGCATGCTGTGC